AAATCCCATGTACAAGTGTTCTTAATAGCTTGTAATTCATCTTATATAACTTGTTGCCAAAGAGGGTTAGAAAAGGCCTCTCAATAGGATTGAGGCTTATTTAAAGAAGTAATAACAAGAAAACAATGATAATCACAAAGGTAGCCATCAGGGTTTCTAACCTGAGTAGGATGACTTGAGGATGGGATAATAAGCTCATTTGCAAACTCAGCAATATTAGATACAACATCAATAGGTGATACAAATGAGGAAGTAGAAAAAGGCTCAAAATTATTTACTACATTACTAATAAGTAGATCATCTTTTTGTAAAACTAGTTGGAGTATGTTGTGAGGCATTATAGAGCTCATCAGATGTACCTGCAACAAAATCACTAGAAAATGGCTTAATATAAGGACTAATAAAAAATGGAGGGTGATAAAAGGATGACCCACTTTGAAATCTAACAATGATGAGAACATAGTCTGTTCCAAAAAAAAAAAAATGACGTGACACTCGAAATTTTTGTGATACAAGATTCCAACAACAATATCCTTTTTATGTAATCCCATAACCTAAAAAACAACATAATCGAGCTCTAGGCTTTAACTTGTTATGTTCATGAGGTGGAAGAAGAACAAAACATGCATAATCAAAAACCTTAAGAAGATCATAGGCATGAAGAATACCATGTAAATGCTTGTATGGAGACTGGTTATTAAGGACTAATGAAGGAATGCAATTAATGAGATAAATAGCTGTAAGATTAGCTTCACCCCAAAATCACTCTAGACAAAAAGACAAAATGAGCAAAGTACGAACGAAATCAATGATGTGTCTGTGTTTGCGATTGGCTCACCCATTTTGTTCAAAAGTGTAAGGACAAGATTGTTGTGTCAATGTATCATGTTCTTTGAGAAAAGATTGAAGTTTTGTACCAAGATATTTAATAGCATTGTTAATTCTCAAAACTTTGATAATTCTAGAGAACTGAGTTTTGACCATGATAGTGAAATCAATATAAAGTTGTGGTAATTCAAATCAATTTTTCATAAGGTATATCAAGGTAAAATGAGTATGATCATCAATAAATAACATAAAGTATCTAGAACCTCCCATCGTGGGTGTAGGAGATGGACCCCAAACATTAAAATGCATGAAATCAAAAGGAGTAGTAGAAAGAGAATAATTACTTAAAAATGATAAAGTGGGTTGTTTTGTAGATTGACATGACACATAATGCAAGGATTCATTTGGAATAAATCCTAATAAACTAAAAGAGATAAAAGGATGAAGTTTACTGACTAAGGTATATGTGAGTCATGAGTGCCATAAATGGAGAGAAGAAATGTTAGTAGTAGCACAAACTTGCAAAATTTGTTGGTATGGAATTTGTATAGACTCTAACTCAATGGCACAAAGTAAGGTTTGGATGAAGCGATCATTTGGGAATGATGGTGTATCCATTTTATGATATGGAATATGCAGATAATTGAGCTCAAACATATGCCCCACCTTGAGACCAATTCCAAGAAATTGTCTTGTCTATGGGTTCTACACATGACAATCATGAGCGAAAAATGTTACTTTGAGGCCAAGATCACATAATTGACCAACAAATAGATTATTATAACTAAGTTTTGAAACCAAGAGAGCATTTGGTAAAGTCAATGACTTCGTAGAAATATTGCCACTGTGACTAACATTCATAGGGGAACCATCAATAGAAAAAATATCAGAAAAGGAATTATTTGGTGACATTGAAGATAATTAAGCAATAGTTAAAGACATATATAGCTATAACAACCAAAATCAAAATACCAAGGCTTGGTACCTAGAGCAATAGATAAGGTAGTATGAGTGTTAAAAAGATTTAATATCACATGTTTTAGGGATTCAATATTGACATTAGGTTGGTTTATGACTTCTTTGGAAACCATAATGGTAGCATGATTAGTCATAGTCCTTTCAAAACTCACCATAAAATTAGTAAAACTCATAATATTAAAAAAAAATCTCTAAAAATATGAAGAGATAGATGTCAAGATTGGAATAACAACTAAACAAAATAGCTCAAAAAAGGCCTAAGAATTGAGAATAAACAATCTAATCTGCAAGAGAAAAGATCCCAACAATAGAATTTTAGATCTAAAATAGATTTGAAAATTCAACTCAAAAGCCAAACAATGATGATAAAAAAGAAGAATCAAGAACTTATAGCTCTAATATCATGTTAGAAATAGAAAAGAAGAAAGAATTGAAGAAAAGTTTATTACTTTCTTGTCTTTCGTATATATACAAAGGTTCTATATATAGATTTATATAATAGAATATTTCTAAATATAAAACTATACAATAGAATATTTCGAGGTATAAAACCAATTAATTTAAATATATGTAATCAATTACAATATGAACATAATACACCACTAGAAAACCTTAAATTACCCACTAAAATGTCACCGATGTGAAAGTTTTTATTAGTGAACTATTACTTTACTAACAAATAATATGTCTGCACTAAGCAAAATGGTAAAATTAACATTAATTTATATTATTTAAAGTTTAAATGAGTACTTTGTTGGTAAATTAGTATTATAAAATTATGAATCTTGTTGATAATATTAAGTCTATATAATCTTAACAAGGAAGTGGTCAAAGTTGCTCTTACTGATGAAGCTCACCTTGAAAATATAATCATGATGCAATGTGCATGTGGTCGGTGCTCATGTCCCAATATGTTGACAAGAAGCTTGTTGGTAATTTGATTTTCCTATTACCTGAGAAATGGCAAGGTGATGATATATATATAAATATATATATATATATATATTTTTTTTTTTTTTTGAAAATAGGTAGTGGGCAAGGTGATGGTACTTGTGAGGCAACCTTTTGATGATTTGTAGCATTTTATTTTAGAATTTATGTTCACTAAAATAATTAAAATGAAAGAAACTTATTGGATAAATTTAGAAATAGACATAAAAAGGCAATGAAATCTAGAAACGAAATGGGGGTTTTAATTCTTTTACTTTTTACAATAAACAAGGGCCACATCAGAAAGTTCACTTCCCACACACCTCTTGTTGGTAACGGGTGGCAGGAATGTCCAATTTTGCACTTTAACTTTCAATATGGACATCGTCGGTGAATTCTAATATATCAATGTGAATCTTATCAGTAAATAAAAGGGGAGATTCCAAAATTTTTATATTTTTTTTCCTCTTATTGAAATTGAATTTGTACCTATGTGAACTATGTCAATAAATGCAATTTCCACTAGAAATTCATAGGTAAAATGCTCTATATATCCCTAAAGC